CCGAGGGCAGCTGCCTGGGGGAGGAGAAAGGGGCTACAGCTGCGGAGAGCCCTGATGAGATCGGGGAATTGCCTTTGAGGAGGGGAAAGGCTGCAGCAAGGCTGCCGTCCTCCTCTTCCTCCTACCGAGGATCCACCCTGCTGGGAGGGCGGCAGGCAGGGGAGGGTGCTGCCAGCTGTGCTGTGCTCGGGGGTTGTTCACACACCTTCCTCGGGTTGTCATAAAATGCTTTTTCTGCTCGGCAGTGCTTGCCCAGTGCTTACCCCCACCTCCCACCCTCACAAGTCTCATCCCCCTCTCCCCCCGCAAAGCCTGGGCGGGGAGGAGGTGAAGGCTTCCTGGTGGGAAATGTTGGGAGGTGCCTAAAACTAACCTTGTTAAAGATCAGTTTCTCAGGAAGAATCTGTCATATGCAGAAGGGTTTTGGGTTTTGTCCACCTATACCAGTTTCAGAGCACACAGAAAGGTCTTTTTTTTGAGTGTGTGGGTGTTAGGCCTTGCTTTATTTATTATTATCTAATCCATCTAGCTAGAAATAAAATATAATCCTTTTTAAATGCCCAGCTAGCTATCAGAGAACCGTGCCACAGCCCATACTTAGGAGAGCAGGGCTGTGCCCCTGGTGCTGTGCAGTGTGGGGCAGCCCTGGGATGAAGCCACTCCTGCAGTGACTGTACCAACCTCATCCTTCCACTACCACAACTACCAGGGGTGCTAGTGGTCAGGCTTCTATGGGCTTCATCAGAATGGCACTGAGATCCAGGCCTCCTTAGAAGACTGGTTATTTCTGCATGGAAAAATGGCTGGAAGCATTGCTAATGAACTAGACCCTGGCACCTACTTGAGGCAGATGGGACATGTGAGATCAGACATGGAAATGTCTGTTTTTGGAAGGATGAATAACCAGCCTTCCCCCTTCTCCAGGCTTACCACTCAACCTTAATGGACTCGGACACCAAGCTAATTGGGAACATGGCACTGTTACCCATCAGGAGCCAGTTCAAAGGCCCAGCACCTCGGGAAAGTAAGTTTATAATCATCTCTGAAAACCTGCCCTGATACAGCTCATCATCATCTCAGTTTGCTCCAGGCCAGCCCTAGGGAGTGACAAGAGGAGTTGGAGTGGAGTACTTTGCAGGTGATAGGGGAGGAAGAAAGTTTTTAAATACTTAAGTTGTGCAAATCATAGAATAGAATTATGCCCAGATAAATGTGCACTGTGATTCATCTAAATCAGTTGTTATCAGTTACTATTCTGGTGCTTTCTCCTGTGTCTCACCCTGCTTCAGGTTTTGAGGAGGATGTGGCCATGTGGACCCTCTGCTGCCAGAGGAAGTGGAGGGTTAGCTACAGAGAACTTGTGCTTTGGGGCTGTGGCTGAAGACACTGGGCTGCTCTGAAGGAGGAGGAGAAGGATAGGCAGCACTTCATGGTGGGGGGGCTTCAGAAATCGACGTGGAGTGACAGGCATCCCAACAGGGCCCACAGGCAGCCTGGTGCAGATTCCCCTTCAGCACGTGAAGCAGCACTTCCCAGGCATGTTTATCCCTGCAGTTTAGCAGTGCAGCTTGAGAAAGGAAATGGAAAGGAAATGTTTCTGGGTTTAGGCAGTTGTGGATGGTAGCAAAAGCTGGCTTGCCACTGGGTTCTGCTCCCCTCCTTTTTTCTTTTCTTTGGAAGAGGACAAGAGAATTGGTGTGACTGTGTCATTAGGCTTTCTCCAAGAACGTTTTTAATGCCCTGAGAAGACTCTTGTGCTGCTGAAACTTGGCTGAATTACTCAACTGGCAGAAAAGTGGGGAACTGCTGAACTACTGCCATTTGTGAAGTGAGAAACCACAGGGGGAGGAGAAGGGGCTTAAAGCTCCTGCCAAGAGTAGGAAGTTCAAGTATTGTGGTCTGACATCACTGGTGTTTCACACAGCAACGACTGTTCTCTGTTTTTTGTAAACACCAAGGTTTTGCCTTTGCAATAATCCTTATTTATGTATTTCAGCAAGTAAAAGTTAGGACTAAATGTAGCATAGGGGTGCATTGTTTAACTCTGTATTTCTTTTTTGTTAGCAAAGGACACAGATATAATAGATGAAGCCATCTACTACTTCAAAGCCAATGTTTTCTTCAAAAATTATGAAATTAAGGTAATTTTTTGACATACTGTGCACTTAGTAGTTCTTTGGAGGGTTGGTTCTGTGACTATAAATGTATTTTCAATGAAATAATTCTACTAGATAATGAAAACTTCTCTTTGTTCTACTTAAAGTTGGGTAAATATCATGAAATGCACATCCCTCTTGGGGAAATTTTAGGCCAAAATGGCTTCAAGTCATTCCTGTTTCAAATTTTTATCAGTTCCATGAATTCTCCCTTAGTCCAAGGGTGGCAGGGCTCTGAGCTTGCTCTTGTTTTGCAGAATGAGGCTGACAGAACGCTGATCTACATAACCCTCTATATTTCTGAGTGCTTGAAAAAGCTGCAAAAGGTAAGAAGAGTGAATTTTTGTGAGGGAGGGAAACCTTTTTTCCTGGGGATTATATTCGGGAAAGGGTTTGCTGATATTCTCCTCCCAGTGACATAATCCTGTTCACCCTCCAAGGCTATGGATCTCCAAAGACGTGTTGTTGTTCTTGATGAGTTTTTTATGTGTTTCAGATTGTTAAAACGTGGGTCTAACACTGCATCAGTTTGTGTTTATAACTGTTAACTCATTGTTTGCCTGGTTCTTCCAGTGTAACTCCAAAGGCCAAGGAGAGAAGGAAATGTACACACTAGGAATCACCAACTTCCCAATCCCTGGGGAGCCTGGCTTTCCACTCAATGCCATTTATGCCAAACCTGCCAACAAGCAGGAGGAAGGTAAGGCTACTCCAGGAAGGCTGCTCAGGTTGATGCTTTACCAGCTGCGTTTTTGTGACTGCAACTAGAAAAATAATTAGTAGAACTGAACCTTCTCAATGTGCAGTTTTGTCTTCTGAGGGCAGCAGAAGCTGGATTTTCTTACTTCAGGGGGGCAGTAACTCTCTTGGATCTAGAGATCCAACAGAACAAATCACTGGGGGTCTGAGTCTGCCTTTTTCATCAACATTATCACCAACTAAACCCTGTAACAGAGCCCAGGCCAACTGCTGCATGAGCAGAATAGGAAGCCCACAATAATGAGCAAAGGTGACTGAGAGAATAAAACAGTTTGGATGATCCTTTTTACTGGTAGAAATACAAGAAAAATCCCAAGTATGGCTGTAAATTGAGCCAGCCAACTCAGCCAGCCAACGAGTACCTGCAGATGTGAAAACTCACACTTTTGTGCTTCAGGCAGTGCTCCAAGTTGTGCTTTTAAGCTGATGTTTCCCTGTTAAATTCCATTTGAGTTGGTGCTGCCCCAGTTCACACTGGTTTTTCCCCATGCTGGGTTTCAGAGGTGATGAGGGCCTACCTGCAGCAGCTGCGGCAAGAGACCGGCCTGCGCCTGTGTGACAAAGTGTTTGATCCTCAGAGTGACAAGCCCAGTAAGGTAGGAGTTCATTGTCCTCATCACAGAGGCTTGGGGTGCTTCTTCAGAAGTGTGTGGGGAGAAGCAAGGTGATGGGGTGAGGGATGAAGTGGGGGTGACTTTGGGGCAAGCTGCTGGGATAGCAGCAGGCTGCAAGGTGTCAGGGAGTGTCGCCTCTCACAGGGGGAGGCAGCAAATGCCTGTTTGGGTTGTTGCAAAGAGCAGGGCAGGGATAAGTGGTGTCTGGTTCAGCTCTTCAAAGTGTTGCACCTCTGGTGTTGGCTGGGTTTGCAGATGGAAAATCACAGGGGAGAGAGATGCTGTTTATCTTCCCGGGCAGTTCTGATTTGATTGCTTCTTTGAAGTGGACCATTTTGCCTCATATCCAGATTAAAACAAAAAAAAAGCTAATCCAGGCATGAATTGCCTTCCAACTGCTCAGATGTTTCATGTGCAAATGTGACTGGGTTTAATATTGAAATTATTTAGGCTAGTATAGTTTCAAAGGCACCACTTTCTGATGCATCCCTTATTTATAACTATATTTGAATAAATAACATTGGAATAAACAGGACAAAGAAAATAATGGAAATAAGAGAGAGTAGAACGTTCTGCTTGAATCCAGGGTCCTGTATTATAAATTCATGGGGTCCATTCCCATCTTGCAGAGGAGGCCATGAAGAGGATCAAAGGGCTGGAGCAGCTCTGCTCTGGAGACAGGCTGAGGGAGTTGGGCTGTTCAGCCTGGAGAACAGAGGGGGAATGGTTTTAAATTGAAAGAGGGGAGATTTAGGTTAGACATCAGGAAGAAATGCTTCACCATGAGGGTAGGAAGAGACTGGCATAAGTTGCCCAGGGAGGTTTTGGCTGCCCCTCCCTGGAGGTGTTGAAGGGCAGGTTGGATGGGGCTTGTGCAGCCTGGTCTGGTGGGAGGTGTCCCTGCTCATGACAGGGGGGTTGGAGCCTCATGATCTGTAAGGTCCCTTCCAATCTTCACCATTCCATGATTGTATGACCTTGTTCTAAATTCCAGTAGGAACCTGTGGAAAACTCTATGTGCCAAACTGGAGCCTTAACACATATTTATTGTCAGAGATCCCTATTTTGTGTATCAGGAGGAAACTGCTTTTGCCTGTTTCCTGACTTTGCACTTCTTTCTGCAGTGGTGGATCTGCTTTGTGAAGAGACAGTTCATGAACAAGAGCCTGTCAGGTCCTGGGCAGTGAAGAGGCAAAGTGGCAACAACATGAAGCAGTCCCACAGCAAGGTGTTTTAAGTATTTTGCATTTGTTTTGGATACATTTTGTACCAAGGAAGAATTAAGTGCTTATGGAGGAAAAAAATAATAAAAAATAATAAAAAAACAACCCACAAACCAGTCAATGAGGGATAGAGGGAGGGAGAGCAAAAAGATGATTTGTGTAAGCAAATATTATTAAGCTGGTGCTTAATAGGTGATTTCTAACGTGCTGTTTCAGATGCAGGCTGTTTTGTTACCAGTGGCTACAGCTGGCATTTAAAACAGGGCTTGTATTTAAGAGAAGAAAAGGGGGTGCCTGTGGAGCAGGGGAGCTGTGGAATTGCTCTACTGGCTAGAGTCTTGGTCTTGTATGTCCACAGAAAATGTACCTCTCACACTGTGTTGTCCAGTGCAGTGATTTTTACCTTGTTTTCAATAAACTCAGCTTGTAATGAATGTGGTAGCTACTTTATGTCTTTGGATATAACTTTCAAAGAAATCAGAGGGGTGTTTTTGTGTAAAGACCATCCTTATTGTGTCAGGGTAAGTAGCAGGAAAAGAACCATTGCCACAGATGATGGGGGGGTTAATACAGGGGTTGCAGTTTGTGGCAGCATACCTGTTTTTTTAGCAGGTCTGTCTTTGCAGAGAGGTTCTCCTCGGACTAGAAGTGCCTTCAAAGGGTAACACAGGTGACACAGAGCTCAGATTCAGTCCAACACAACCCTTACCCAGTGCTGGCAGGAACTGTGACTGTTTGGATCAGCCAGATGGCTTTTTGGAGAACCACAAATCCAAACTGGGTTTATCCCAAGTTGTCTCTACTTCATGGCAACACTTTTCACTGTCACCAGCACAATTTTTGTGACGTGAGGTCCAGGGTCAGTCGTGTTCTGCTGCCTGGTGTGTTTCTCTTGAGAGGTTCCTCTCCACACAGCAGTGATGGTGTGTTCAAACAGAGAATTCCAACTGGCTTCATTTGTAGTAATAATAATAGTCGAATAGCCATGGTTTTTGTTCTTTTTGTAATAAAAACGGGAATAAAAGCTTATGACTCAGCTCTCCTTTCAGCCAACGCCTTGTAGTTGATGCTGGCCCTAGTGAGGCATTTCCCCTGCTTGTGGCCCAGAAGAAATCAAAGTTTTGAAGGGTCTTTTCCCCTCGGTGACTTATTTTTATAGGCAGTTTTGTTATTTCTGAGACGTCCATCCCACGTAGGTGCCGAAATCAGCAGATAATGAAGTCTTAGGAGACAAAGGGAGAGAAAGTGCAGACACCGAGTGTGTGTCTCTCCCACCGCCCCGATCCCGGGCGGCCAAGGCCGGTACGAGGGGCCCCGGTCCCGGGCGGCCAAGGCCGGTACGAGGGCCCCACTCCCCTCAGGGCCCCGAACGACCCGTTTCCCGCCTCGGGGCTGCGGCTGCGCGGGGTCCT